CCGGGGACGCCTGGGTCCGCCGCCGGAGCACCATGCTCGTGGGGGTGGGGCTTGTGGGTGGTGGCGCTGGGCTCGGGGGCCTGGGTTTGCGGTCGGGAGGTGGAGCGTCGGTGAGAAGGTGGGTGGGGTTTGACCGGGGAAGAAGGTGGGGTGGGGCGTGGGGTTGGAGGTTTTTTTTTTTGGTTTTTGCAGTTCAGTGGGTTCTAGCGCGCGTGGGGTCGCGGGGTGTTCGGATCAGGTGTTATCAGAATAAGGCAGTAGTGTTATTAGAATAAGGTCTTAAGGGGTGTTATTAGAATAGACCCATCCTAGGTATTTGGATCACAGCTGCCTCTATATAGGTAGCGATTGGTTGTTTTCGAACCGGTGCAAAAGAAAAAAAAACCACCCAACCCCATCGTCCTCCCACATCCCCGCCTTCTTCCCCGGCGCCCGCGTGCCATGCCCGATCCAGCCTGCCTCCCCCGCCTCCCCTAGCTTCTTCCCCGATGCCGTCCCGAACACCGGCCGAACCGGCCGAATCGGCCGAAGCAGCCGTCGCCGCTCTCCCCAAATCGGGCCGCCACCACCGTCACCGGGTCACGCCGCCACCGCCGCCCTCCCCAGATCGCCCCACAACCGCCTCCGCACTCCACGGTCACACCGCTACCGCCGCTCACTCCCCAAATTGCGCCGCCACCGCCACCTCGTGCTTCATCCTTTCTACTACGCCCCTGCTCCTCGACCACCGACGGCGACGCGCATCCATCCTCCTCTGCCCCCACGACCTTCTTTCTCTGTTGTCGTGGCCTTCCTCCTTTCCCACCGCCGGCGTGAGAGCTGCGCACGCCACCCCGCACTACCACCTTCCTCCTCCCGGCCGGCCTCCCGGCTCTGGCGCCACTGTGCAGAGCAGTGCCACCACGCACAACCTAGGATCACTGTCGCCCCCTCTTCCTCCATGATGTTGTTGCCCTCTTCCTCCATGCTGTTGCCGCCTTTGATTCAGCCCCACGCGCCTGGCAGTCTCCGCATTGAGCTACCCCGTGCACATAAGCTGTTTGTGTATATACCCCAAACAAAAAGGTATGTTTTTTTCTAGGTTGTAGTCCAAAGAAGTTTTGCACAGAAGCTCAAGTGGTTGTTACTGCTGCAATTTAGAGATGTTGACGTTCATGATTATGTACACATTTTAACAAAAGTTCAAAGTTGGAATCAAAAAGGGGGAAAAGAGCTCCATTTTATGAAGAAAACTGAAAAGTCATTGTCACAGGGACGATCATGAAGGTCAGATGTTGAAAAAGTCAGGTGCATGATGCATGTCTGTCCATCCCCTTACCACCTTCACCTTAGACCAAGAGATGACCTTCTTAGCTGATGATGTTGACCTTCATCATAATTTTTTCTGCCCTGTCATGCGGCTGAAAATTTGACTCTGTTGTTCCGTGAACAGAAACTGAAGAGTTCCAAGCTCTCCGGATGTCTCTTGGATGCAACGTTCTTCTGTGTGCAGTTGATGGAAACACTCTGCTGCTGGAATAATGAAATTAACCCCCAACTAGATCCCAACCTTTTGCTCATCCCCGACGCGTGACTACATCTGATCGAAGTTCACCTTGTTTATCTTGAGACGTCCAAGTATAATTGTTTAAAAAGGTTCAGTTATGACCGCAACCGTGGGTTCAGATAAACTCAACGACTAGGATACTGCTACCTATAGCTGAACCTCGACTTGCTGCAGATGGGCTAGCTGCACTTCATGTTTACTTCAAAAGAAAGGATACATATGTTGCAGTGCCTCCTGTGTGTATCAGCTAACTAATATTTCTGCAAAAAAATAGTGTTTGTCTACAGCTTGTACGTACAAACATATATTTAGCCCATTTTGGTACTACAAATGAATAGTTTTGTTAGTTCTACTTGTACATATTTCATACAATTTGTTTCTTTGTCTACTGGTAGTCGTGCCAGATACGATGCTACCTGGGAAATTGTGACGCACCTTCGCTTCGTGCCGCCACAGGACCCAGTGCGCCTCCTTTCCTCTGCTTTTCTCTATGCGCAGCTATGTGTCTTACCCCGCCAATTGCCCCTGCTGCTGCTGGGAACAGGTAAAAATCCAGCTATTGTTTGTTCATGGCTCCAATTCAACTTTATGCATAAATATTGTTTTGACAGTCAAATTTGTGCATGGCTTCAGAGACATTCCATGAAATCCCACAACATCTATACGTCATCTTCCGAGATGTTCCATGAAGTTCTACTGCGGCTGTCCGTCACTATGGTCGTGTGCCAGTATGGTGTGCTTGGTTCATGTGTGCCTTGAAAAGATCATGTTTACCTTGCTAGATGCTGGCCAGCTCGCTCTTTGTGTGTGTTGCTGTTGCTCTAACCACACCTGTAAGCGGCAGCTGCTTCTCTCTCTGTGTATTGATTTCTCTTGCGCGCCAACGTTGTTGTCTCTCTAATTGATTCATATTTGATGCGGCGATAAAGGGAGATATTTTGGATTCCAGCTTTTCCTTGTACGTTCAAGTCGGAAGTGAAAAGTAATTGTTGCAAACTGAAAAAGAAATGTATTGTATGCATCCCCCCCCCCCACACACACATGTTTGTAATAAACTAAAAAACAGAGTAGTTCAAAAAGTTTAATAAAAAAGGGTTTTCCCTGTTTCTAAAAAAACACAGAAGTTCAAATTTAAATAACGAAGAAGGTCAAAAAAACCTAGAAGTTCAAACTAAAAAAATTGGAGACTTTGATGATCATATACTAACAAAAAAAGGCCATGTAGAAAATGTTAACCCTCGAAGTTCAAATTTAATAAATTGGAGAGTTCAAATAAAATGTTGTGAGTATACAAGAAAATTTCCTCATCATAGAAAAAAGGTAACCAAAAAGTGCAAATTAAAAATTGATCATTTCAAAAATTACAAAAAAACGGATTTCCCCATTTCTAGAAAATACCGAGAGGTTCAAATATAAAATACGAAGAAGTTCAATGTTTATTAAAAATCCAAGAAGGTCAAATTAATAAAAAAAAAGCATCTAAAAATATAAAAAAGAGATTTTCTCTGTTAAAAAATCTAGAATTTCAAATTTTTTAAAAAAGCGGCTCAATGTTTATTAAAAAAACTAGGGATTTCCCGTTAATAAAAAGAAATAAAACCAAGAAGTCCAAATTAAAAAAAGTTGGAGCTAGATGTTTACAAAAAAATTAGATTTTCCCTATTATAGAAAGAACGGAAACAAGAAGTTCAAAATGAAATAACGCGGTATTTCGATGTCTAACATTGGAAAATCTAAATCTCCTAATGGGAATATCATAAGAAGTTCAAACAAAAATACACACAGAAGTTCAAAAAGATAACATGGCGCTTTGAAGTGGATATTCCACTATTTCTACATAATAAACCAATAAGTTCAATTTCAAATAACAAAGAAGTTTGATGTTTCTAAAAAACCTCCAATTTTCACATTTCTAAAAAATACACAATGAAGTTCAAAATAAAAAAAGGTAGAGTGATTCAATGTCTATAAAAAACTCAGAAATTTTCACATAACCGAGAGAAGTCCAGATTGATAAATGCCAGAAGTTCACATACTACACTGTGTGCATTTTGTATTAAAAAAAGAATGAAAAAGTAAAGGCTAAAAGTTTTGTTGCTAGAAGTTCAACTGCTCGGCCCGAGAAAGCTCAAAAATTCTTCTGAAAGAGGTTCACCATGTATTTAGATGTCCAAAAACACATACAAAATATGTTGTTTTGGTGTTTTAAAATAATTCTCTCAAACTAGAGAGAAGTTCAAAGTGATAACAACTGGAAGTTCACGTACTACATGGTGTGTATTTCATATAAGAAAAATACAATAAAGTGAAATAGAGTGAAGCTCAAACATACATGTCCTAGAAGTTCAACTACTTCACGCAGTGCAAGAAATAGCACATCAAAAACAGCACGTTAAAAATAGAGGGAAGTTCAAACAGGCATGTCCTAGAAGTTTAACTATTTCACGCAGTGCAAAAAAGAGCATGTCAAAAAACAACACGTCAAAAATAGTGCGAAGTTCAAACAGACATGCCCGAGAAGTTCAACTACTTCACGCAGTGCTTTTCCATTCGCGATGAAGGCAAAAATCATGATCTCGTCATTTTCTAATTTACTTCAAAATGGTAGAAATATCATTTGTGTAAGTTCAAGTCATCGGTCGGAGAAAGTTAAAAAAATCATTGTGAGAGAGGTTTGTGCAAAAGGAATATCATTTGTGTGACATTGACGAATGTATGAGGAAATTACAAAGGAAAATACGTCATAGAAGTTCAACGTGAAAATAGCAGGAAGTTCAACTACTACACTGAATGAATTTCAGATGAAAAACTTTTAAAACCATCGCGAGTATGAGAAAATAATCAACACGAGAAAGTTGCGTGTTTACAGCAGCTTTCCATTGGTATATCACTCATTGAATTCCGGGGAGTGGATGGAGATCTGTGAGCAAAAAAAAGCACGTCGAAAACAAAGTGAAATTCAGGTAGATATGCTGAGAAGTTCAGGTTCTTCACACGGTGCATTTTCAAAGAATTTGTTTTGCGATAGAGGCAGAACGAATGATCCCGCCGTTTTCGAAATTACTTAAAAACGGCTAAGAATCAGAGAAAACCATCAACATGAAAAGGTTTCGTGTTTCCCGTAGCTTTTCAACGGTATATTATTTGCCCAATTCTGATAAAGTTTGTAGAAATTATGGCGAAAATACGTGTTTCGCCATTTTCGAAACTGACTTAAAACAGTAAAGAATTGGAAGAAACAATACATACCAAAAAGTTTCGCATTTGTTCAAGCTTTCCAACGCCATATCATTTGCTGCATTCGGACGCACGGTTAAAAAATTAGCTCGAAAATACGAACTCGGTAGGACTTGGACCATTTTCTAAATTACTCTTAAACCATTCAAAATTAGAAAAAAACTTTCAACATGAAAAAGTAGCACATTTTCATCAGCTTTCCAATGCCATATCATATGCCTCCATTGGATTAGCTGTTTAGAAATGACATCGAAAAAACGAACTCTGCTGTTCGGTTTACGAAATTTTACGTTTTTTCAAATTACTCTTTAACCATAGGGAATTAAAGAAAACTTTCAACATATGGAAGGAGCGGTTTTGCAGCAGCTTTCCAACTCCATATTATATGCCTCATTCCGATAAACGGGTTAGAAATGCGATCGAAAATACGATTCACGTTTTTTGTGCAAAGAAAAAACGGTTTTCAAAATTGCTCTTAAACTGCTTATATTTTGCCAAAAATTTAAGTTGGGTCATGATATTGGTGTCCATAGCTTTCCCACGTATATGGCAAGCCCCATTTGGGAAATGTTGGCGGAAGTTCAACCTAGTTCACAGGGAAGTTCAACGTACTACTAGCGGGGCAGGTCAGGTTGTTTATGTATATATATACATAAACACTATTCTGATCATGGGATCAGAATAATATTCTGACCACAACGCCATATCATTTGCTGCATTCGGACACATAGTTAAAAAATTAGCTCGAAAATACGAACTTGGTAGGACTTGGACCATTTTCTAAATTACTCTTAAACCATTCAAAATTAGAAACAAACTTTCAAGATGAAAAAGTAGCGCATTTTCATAAGCTTTCCAACGCCATATATATGCCTCCATTGGATTAGCCATTTAGAAATGACATCAAAAAAACGAACTCAGCTGTTCGGTTTACAAAATTTTACGTTTTTTCAAATTACTCTTTAACCATAGGGAATTAGAGAAAACTTTCAACATGTGGAAGGAGCGGTTTTGCAGCAGATTTCCAACGCCATATTATATGCCTCATTCCGATAAACGGTTTAGAAATGCGATCGAAAATACGATTCACGTTTTTTGTGCGAAGAAAAAACGGTTTTCAAAACTGCTCTTAAACCGCTTATATTTCGCCAAAAATTTAAGTTGGGTCATGATATTGGGGTTC